ATCCTGGATTTTTCTTTTCTTTTCATTTTATTATGTTGTTTGAGTCTTCTCATATCTCAATGAGTTTCCTGAAAATTGTTGCTCAGAATTCGTTTTCAGTCATTTCAAGTGTTTCCTGCTGTATAGGGTCTGATATTTGAGAATTATTTGATATTCTTTTGGTGGGTCATGTTTTCTTGGGTTTTCATATTTCTACTATCTCTGCATTGATGTCTGGTCATCTGGAAGAGCAGTTGCTTCTTCTATTACTCTGGAGTGGGCCTTGAGGAGAGAGACATCCTCTTCTTTTTCCAAGCTCTACTGGTGACTCTCCTTGTGTCAATGCAGTTGAGTGTCTGTAGGGCCACCTGCATGGTGGCTGTGGAGTTCAGTCACTTTTGTGGCAGCCATGGCTCTGGCTGTGTCTGTGGTATGCTCTCTTGCCTGTTTCCAGGGGTGTGTGCGAGCTGCCCTTGGCTCCTGCCTAGGACCCTGAACATTGCTATCTTGCCTGCTTCCAGGAGGAATCTTTTTAAAACTTAACTACAATATCATTAGCACATTCAAAAATATTAGAAACTTTTCTTTATGTTATTAAATACCTAGTCAATAATCACATTTCACTGTTTTTTTTAATTAGGTTCTGAATATTATTTATAAACTGTATTTTGTCTTTTTGTTGTTGTTTTTCTGCACTTTTTTGTTTTAAATGCTATTAATTTATGCACTCACTTTAGGCAGGCAATTCAGGCAGCTGCTAAAAAAACAGAGAGGGGCATCCTCCTGATCACCCATTGCCTGTCTGAAGCTGAGGCCATCTGTGACCGTGTGGCCATCATGGTGTCCGGAAGGTTGAGGTGGGTATATCTCCAGAGCCTGCATTTGACACCCAACACAAAATTCCCTGTGGAAAGATCAAAACCACTGTGAGCAGCTGGAGCCCTCCTTTTTAGCTTCCTCTGTGACAGCCTTTCCCATACATTTGAAGTTTAAGAATAACATAAAAAAAAATTAGGGCAATATTTTTTCCAACATGTTCTTCTTCTTGCCTGTAGATGCATTGGCCCCATCCAACACCTGAAAAACAAACTTGGCAAGGATTACATTCTAGAACTAAAAGTGAAGGAAGCTTCTCGAGTGCCTTTGGTCCACACGGAGATTCTGAAGCTTTTCCCACAGGCTGCACAGCAGGAAAGGTGAAAAAAGCTTTGATTAGGGAGAAATATGTAGGATTTACCCACTCAATGGTTCCTTTTCTGCTTTGTCAGAACTTCATGATGATTTGACTTCATAACAAAAGTTAGGGATATCAAAACCTGATTGTTGAGTCTTCTAGATGATAAGAGATTTGGGACCTACCCAGGAAGCTGCATCCTGGGCGAGTCCTCAGTTTCTGAGGGA